AACCAAACGTTATGGAGTTAAAACGTGGGCCCGACGTTGTCTGATCTTCTGATTCTTTCTTAAAAGAAGTCGAATGTTTAGGTGAAACCTCCTAATTTTCAAACACTGACAAATAACCTAGAACTTAAGAAACCACTGTACTGGCAATACCATCCTGGCCAAACAAAGCATGTCTGTAGGCTGGGCTGGGCCCTGGTGCTGTGAATCTGTGGCCTGTTTGACAGAGCTTAATGTACATGTGAGCTATCGTCAAACCTCAGGCTGGAGAGAGAGAGAGGGCCGCAGGGCGGAATTTACCTGGGTGTCCAGGTGAGTTCCCGGGAGACAAAAAGCTGTCTCTGCCGTAACCCACATCTCCGCGAGCGAAGTGCACCTCCTTGGCCGGGTTTGTGGTCCTCGGTTGAGCAGTCACGGTTGCTTGCCACTGCCCACCCTCCCCCAGTTCTGCGCCTGTGTGTCGCTTTGCCATTCTCTCACTTTGGAGTTGTGTAAACATAGGTTTGAAATCTAGCTTTGCCAGCTCTGGTTTGTCTTGGGCAAGTTTTTCTTCTTGTGTGTTTTTTGTTTGTTTGTTTGTTTTTTATGTATTTTTTTAAAAAATACATATTTTATTGATTTTTTACAGAGAGGGAGGGAGAGGGATAGAGAGCTAGAAACATCGATGAGAGAGAAACATCGATCAGCTGCCTCCTGCACACTCCCTATTGGGGATGTGCCCACAACCAAGGTACATGCCCCTGACCGGAATCGAACCTGGGACCCTTCAGTCTGCAGGCCCACGCTCTACCCACTGAGCCAAACTGGTCAGGGCTGTTTGTTTGTTTTTTAATCTCTACACCTAGTTTCTTGTTTGTAAAACAAGCATACTACCATCCGGGAAGATGAAGTGAGAATGCCCTAAGTCACCTGCCCGGTGCTGAGCACACAGTAAACGCTCTCCAAGCTGGGTCCCCTTAAGGGAAGCCCTGAGGTCAGGAAGCTAGGTCCACTGTTGTTTTAAAAATTGTCCCTGATCCCTGCCAAGGCCAGACACCTCTTGGGGTCTGTTCCCGCAGCTCGCCACTAGGGGGCAGCGTGCAATAGCAAATCCCAGCTCTTTGACTCTCGGGTGGGAGGGCGGGGCGGGGGCGCGTGGAATGGGCTTTGGACAGGCAAAGGTGTATCTTACAGGGCAGGCCTGGCAGCCAAAGGTTTGGGTACAGGTCCCACGTCATGCCGAAGTCCACAGGCCGTTGGATGCATGATGGGAACCAGAAGGCAGGAAGCCGCCTGGCTCTGGCTGGGCTTCTTGACCTGCGGCATGACCTTGGCCAAGTCACCAGGCCCCGGTTTCCTGGTGGTTGAATGAGGGGCTTGCACCAGCCAACCCCAGTCCTCTCCAGCTCAGAAACGTGGCTGTTCCGTGCAGTCGCAGAGGAAGAGGCGTAACAAACCTAGAGAAGAAGAGTGACCAGTGAATAGGGGGCCAGGAGAGGTGGGGGTGGGGGGCGTGAGGGGGGAGGGGCGGAGCATCCCAGGGCCTCAGGCGGGGCTTCTGAGAGGCAGCACTTCTCCCTCTTCAAACCTGCAGCCATTCGGACACCTCGTGTGGGAGGGTTCCTGCCTCTTTCCCGTGCGTCTGGGGAGGATCACTGATGGCCTAGGGCCCATTTCCCGACCTGTGCTGAAGTGCTTTGATTCCTGTCCACGCCTCAAAGCAATCCTGCAGAGACAGCAGGACGCACCTCTTTCCCCTGCTCCCTCCTCCAGGGACCCTCCATCCCCTACGGGGAGTGGGCGCCCGAGGCTGGGCCCCCAGCAGCCACTGAGGAACACGTGTTGGGTGGCATTTGCAAAATGCTGGTGGGAAACCGGTCAGGCCCATCTGGGGGCTCAGAGCCCCCCCACCCCAGCTGGCCAAGGCCCCCCGGGCCACCTGGCCCCCCAGGAGGAGAGCCTCCCCTCCCCTGGCCCCAGTCCGTGGCAGCCCTCTGTGCCCGCAGCCGCTGTCTCTTTAAGGGCCTCCCCCCTCGTTCTTTGCTCCCCCCATCTCTGTCGCAGCCGCTGCTGTGGCTCAGAGCTGCATGGGGAGACGCCACTGCAGGTCCGGTTTCTTGGTGTCTGGTCGGTGCCATCATTTCCCCACCCCTCCCCCGCCCTCCCCCAGCTGGTGACTTACCCTCCCCCTCCCCCTCCCACCGAGGGGGCAGGGGGCTGGGCATGGACACTCGATAATGCCCCATGCAGCGTCAGTGCGGGGCAGCGGGGGCTGTGGAGGCAGCGCGAGGCGGGAGAGCAGTGCTGACCGCTGACCACTTGCCCGGCCGCTGCTCTGTCTCTCTTCCCTCCCGCCCTCTCTCCCTGCCTTTCAGGGCTGGCCCCACGGTCCCACCCCTCACCCCCCACCCCGCCTCCTCGGGCCCTCCCAGCCTCTCCACGTAAGCCCCCCTCCCACCTGCCTTGTCTCTCCCTCCCCTCCCCCACCCGCATCTTCCTGCTCCTCCAGCACCTCTCCCTCTCTGTCCTCTCACCAAGTCCTCCCCTCATCTCCCTCCCTCCCTCCGGCTGGCTTTCTCCTGCTCCCTTTCTGGGATCCTCCCTCTCCCGGTCTCACCCCTTCCCCATCTCACCCAACTCCCTTCCCCCTGCCTCGGGCCTGACTCCCCTGCCCCATCCCTTCCTGCCCTGTCCCCTTTGTGTCCCCCCTCTCCATCTCCCCTCTGGCTTTTTGTCTTTTCTCCACCTCTAACTCCCTTCAGCTCCATCTCCCTGTCCCTTCCCCACTGCTCTCCTCCCTGCCCGAGGCCCGAGCCACCATGCTGACCCTGGTGGCTGGGGGGGTGGTGTTCCCCGGACTCTTCCTCCTCTCCAAGAACACGCTCCAGCGGTTGCCCCAGCTGCGCTGGGAGGAGGCCGACGCGGTCATTGTCTCCGCCAGGTAAACCGCATCCCTTCCCCGCAGCCCCTCTCCCCCCCTCAGGCTTCATGAGGATGAATGGAGCCGGTCCTTCCTTGGGCCCGTGGCCTGGTGGGGCCTGGGGGCTCCTGGAGGGGTCAGCAGGCTTTACCTCCGCGCTCCCTTCCCTCCTCACTGCCGTACTCTGTCCCAGGAGGCCTCATCCAAACCCAGCCATCTGGTCTACTCCCATTCAGACTGCCTTTCTTCCTTTCCTCATTCACCTCCCAACCTCCAAAACAGGATCCGCATGTGACTAGAACATCCTACAAGATATTAGGGACCGAGGCAAGGGCCAGGGAGCTGCGTGTTACTCGGGGCTTGTGTTTGGGGGCACAAGGGACAGACAAGTGAAAGGTAGAACTCTTTACAGCCCTGGAATAAGGACCGGCGTTGGGGAGGGGAGCGTGGTGGCAGTTAAGGATACCGTGGGAAAGTGGCCGGGGGGATTTGGGGTCACTGAGGGACTAGTTGATGAGGAGTATGATGACGGGGCAGCTGAGTGGTGCAAGTACAGGCCCAGGGCTTTCCCTTGCCATCCTGTGCTGTCCCCCTACCCCCCCCCCCCCCCAGGAAGGGGCATTGTTGTCAGCCACACATTCTCAGCATTGCCTCACCCCAGAATGACCTCCCTGGTGTCCTGGGAGGAAGACAACTCAGTGTTCACAGTGCAGGGAAGGGAGCCGGCAGCCGGGAACGGGAAACTGAGGAGTGGCAGCTGGGCAAATGCAGGAGCTGAGTGGTGCTGAGCCCTGGGACAGGCAGCTTTGGGAAAAGATGGGCAGGGAGGGACCCGAGAAGTAACCAAGTCCAAAGCATCGTAACCGGACAGTAAAGAGGAGAAGCCAAGGGGTGTGTCTCCTCCCTCTACCACTGCTGCCTCTCCCTCCCTAGGCTGGTGTCCTCTGTCCAAGCTGTCATGGCCTCCACAGCTGGCTACATCGTCTCCACCTCCTGCAAGCACATCATCGATGACCAGTAAGTGCCATGAGACCCCCTGTGCCCAGGTTCCAGAATCTTGTGTGTGTGTGTGGCCCCTGAGGTCTTCTAGGGGACTCCTGCAGTGGTCCCCAAGCCCTTCCCTTGGGCCTGAGCAAGTTAACTGCAGTAGCTGCAACTCAACACCCAGGGATAAATTTATCCACGTCCTGTCCTTAAAGGTCAGAACGAGCCGGAGAAGGAATAGGGATCAAAGAGGATTGAAGCAGCTCCTGGGCCTCCCAGCCTCTTTATCATAGGTCCTCCCCTACCTCCTCCAACCCTACACCCTTCAGACCCTATTTCCAACCAGCAGCTAACTGGGGTGCCTTCTTCTTCATGCTGGGCTCACCCCTCACCTCCTCCCAGAATCCAGGGATCCAGCCCCACCTTCATGCACGAGGGAGAGAAGAGGGATGACAAAAACAAGGCCACCAGTGGGGTGTGTGTGTGTGTGTGTGTGTGTGTGTGTGTGTGTGCGTGCGCGCGCATGTGCGCGCGCGCGCAGAGGTCAGAATTTGGCACTGGCAGCTGCTGCAGTGCCTGGTGCTTGCCAAAGCCCAGGCCTGAGAGGTGGGGCCAGAGTGGGAAGCAGAGGGCCCCTGTCCATGGTGCTGACAGGCCAGCCCTAGGTGACCCACGGGCTGCGCCAGAGTTGCCTGCAAGGGTGCTGACGAGGCCCCACGCTTCACTTCGGGCCCTGCCTCCTTTCTATGGTGGCTGTCGAGCCCCAGGGACATTGTCTGGATGAGCCTGAACTGGAGGTGCCCCATCTTTCCCTGCAGATGAGTCCCCTCATCTGTGGATTGGGGTACATCCCAGCGTAGACAGGCAGCTGGGAGGAGTTGAGTTGTGTGTTAAATGCCTAGAGCAGTCCTGGCTCACATATACTGGATACTGAACTCTTTCTTCAGACTCCACCCATGTGACTGAGCTTCTTCTTGCCCTCGCCCCCTCGTCTCCATCCCTAAGTCCAAAATGAGCCTGGATCCCCACACATTTCCTCCCCTCCCCTCCAAACAGAGGTCACCTTCCTCTTACCTCTCCTCCCGCCTAGCTCAGCTCTCCTCCCTCCCCTTTTAATCCTCAGGTAGAAGCGGAGGATCAGGGCTAATCTAGGGGCCACAGCTGTTCCCACTTCTAGCACCTCATTGCTGAGAGGGTGGGTCCGGGTGTAACCCTTCGCATCGCTGCCCAGGGACTGGTGGGTGGTCTTAGTTCCCCTAAACGCCCGTGGTCCCACCGCCTACCATGTCCCTGCAGCCGGTTCTCCTGGCCATTCCCGCTCCAACGGCTCTCAGGCTGCTGGACGCCGTTCCACATTCTGCCCTCGTCGCTAAGCTGCTCCTTCTCTCTCCCTCCTGGTCCCACTCCCCCATGGGTCTCAGCTGCTCCTTCCCTGAAATGACCCTGCTGGTACGGGCCGCCTGCTCCCTTCCGGGCCGGCCTCCCCCAGATCTGGCTCCCCCAGGGCTTACACTCTGCTTCCAGCACGAGCCCGCCCCAGCGACCCCCAGTCCACTTCCAGGCCTCACTCCCTTGCCCTGCAGCAGCGCCTCACATCTGGCCTCAGCCCCTTTCTGTGTCTTTTCTTGGCTGACGTTGCTTTGTCCCTCCACTTAGCTGGGGCAGCTCCCCCTGACCTCCCACCCCGCCTCGGACCTGCACGGCACGGGAGGACTCCCGAGGCAGGGCTCGATGGACTGGCTCCAGCGGAAGAATGCAGAGCTGCAGATTATGCACTTTTCATTTTTGTTTACTCTCAAAGTACATAGAACTCTCTCTGCTCTTGGCGCCTCTGGCTCAGCGTTTCCTCCGTGATGCTTGGCTGTACCTGGGAGAACGAGACGTCAGGCCACACTCCGGAACAGCAAGTAGCACGGACAGCGCCAGGGGCCTCCTCCCACACTTGTTTCCAGCCTCCCAGGCAGCAGCGGCTGAGAGTGAGGCCTACGGAGCCAGGCTTCGGTCTGTTCCTTGGCCAGGTCACCTCGCCCCCAGTTTCCATTTGTGAAACGGAGGGTAACCATACAGCCCTTTCGGGGGGTTTTTGTCGGGGAGTAAATAAGTTGTGCGTGTGGAAGGCTGAGCGTATTCGCACGGTGCCTGCGTGGAATCACCAGTCGGCGGGCGTTCGCCAACACGGTCTCTCCCCATCACTGGCCCGGCACGCCCTCAGCACCGATGCCTTTCTTATCTGCTGAGTTTGTTTTCTCTCTCTCTCTGCTCTTTCTCTCTTTCCCTTTTTCTCCTGCCACATTGCAGAGAGAAGAGTGAATGAATGAATGAATGAATGAATGAATGAATATGGAAAATCGATGGGTTTTGAGTCAGCCTGGGCTTGAATCTCACCACGGCTGCGTTCCGCCCTCTGACCTGGGTTCCATCCTGCATCTTGAGCGTCCACTCCGCCTCAGGGGTGTGAGGGGCATTGAGGTCTGGGCCCAGGCCGCGTCCAGCACCAACCCTGGCGCCCGCCCGCAGCGGCGTCCGTGCCCTTTCCTCCTGACACCTCCTCCTCTCTCTGCCCAACAGACACTGGCTTTCCTCCGCCTACACGCAGTTCGCAGTGCCCTACTTCATCTACGACATCTACGCCATGTTTCTCTGCCACTGGCACAAGCACCAGGTCAAGGGGCACGGAGGGGACGAAGGAGAGGCCCGGGCCCCCGGCAGCACCTGGGCCGTGGCGCGCGGCTACCTGCACAAGGAGTTCCTCATGGTGCTGCACCACGCCGTCATGGTGCTGGTGTGCTTCCCGCTGTCCGTGGTGAGTCCCGCGCCGGCCGCGCTGTGGGGAGCCTGGGCGCCCCGGTGGAGGCCCCACGGAGGTGTCCTGAGCACAGCCCAGCCCCAGGCCGCAGGAGGGGCTTGGAGCTGCTGCGGCTGCCTGCGTCTGAGCCTCAGTTTCCTAGTGCGGAACACACCGCACACCATCCTGCCGCCAAGGCTGCTGGGTGCAGTGAGGGCAGGCGCAGGCTCAGAACGAAGCCTCTGGAAGAGCGGTTCTCAACCTGTGGGTCGCGACCCCTTTGGGGTCCCTAAGACCATCGGAAAAGACATGTATAATTACATGTTGTTTTTGTGATTAATCACTATGCTTTGATTATGTTCAATTTGTAACGATGAAATTGGGGGTCACCACAACACGAGGAACTGTATTAGAGGGTCGCGGCATTAGGAAGGTTGAGAACCACTGCTCCGGAAGGTGGTGGAGGGAGAGCAGGAGAGCAGGTGCTGCCCACGCGCCCAGGGCGAGGCCCGCTTCCTTGCTCTCCGCTCAGGTGTGGCGTCAGGGCAAAGGCGACTACTTTCTAGGCTGCCTGCTGATGGCCGAGGTCAGCACGCCCTTCGTCTGCCTGGGCAAGATCCTCATCCAGGTGAGCGGAGCTGCGGGTGCAGGAGTCTGCGGGGGGCGGGGCCGGGCGGGGGGCGGGGCCTGGGCCGGAGAGGGCGGGGCCTGGGCCGGAGAGGGCGGGGCCTGGGGAGACACGCCCCGCGCTCACCCGCCGCTCTCGCCGCCGCCCGCAGTACAAGCAGCAGCACACGCTGCTGCACAAGGTGAACGGCGCCCTGATGCTGCTCAGCTTCCTGTGCTGCCGGGTGCTGCTCTTCCCCTACCTGTACTGGGCCTACGGGCGGCACGCGGGGCTGCCGCTGCTCGCCGTGCCCCTCGCCCTCCCGGCGCACGTCAACCTGGGCGCCGCGCTGCTGCTCGCCCCGCAGCTCTACTGGTTCTTCCTCATCTGCCGCGGGGCCTGCCGCCTCTTCTGGCCGCGCGGCTCCCCGCCGCCCTCGCCCGCGCCGGCCCGCGAGTGAGGCGGGGCCCGAGGACCCTGCCCGCCCCTCCGCCAGCCCCACCCCGACCCCCCGGGGACGAGGCTCTGGGGCTGCTGCGAGGGGTGTGGAGCCGGGAGCCTGGCCGCCCGGGACGGACGATGGACTCCGAGGGGTGGGTGCAGGCCCGCAGGGCCCGGGGCAGGGCGGGTGGAGGGGCGGGAGAGGGCCTGGGCCCGCGGCGCCTCCCGCAGACCCGTCTCTGACCACAGCCCGGGCCCTGGAGAGCGAAGGGCAGCGGAAGGGGCGCCCCTTCCCCTCCTGGTACGGCTTGAGGGCGGGGGGAGGCTGCTGGAGGCTCACGGGGACCAGGAACCAGAAGGTGGGGAGGCCCTGCTGCAGCTCCTCCCAGCTCCCTGCTCGGGGCGGGCGGCCCGCAGCGCCTCTCCGGGGGCCAGCCTGGGGCCCTATTTATTCACCCACATTCTCACTCGTCTGTCGGGGCGGTGGCTGCTCCCCCGCCTTCCCAGCGCTGAGCAATCCCGCAGGTGAGGGGCGGTCCGGTCCCTCCCCCGTAGGCTGCACACTCGCCCGCAGGCCCTGGCATGTCCCTGGTGCTACAGACCCCCCAAGGCTTCCTCCAGTCTGGGGTCGGGGACCCCGGGAGGTGCTTCCAGACCGCTAATAAAGACGATCTGCGCGAACGCCGCCCGCCTCCGCACACACTTTATTCCTCTGCAGGGGCGGAGGGTGGGTCTGAGCGCTCGGCCTGGCTCCTCAGGCCCCTTTCTGGCAGCTCCTACGGGGCGGGCGGGGCATGGGGGTCAGAGGAGGGAGGCCTCCCGCCAGGAAGGCTGGGGGGCGGGCGGGAGGGAGGGGCAGCCTTACATGTGTGTGCAGAACTGGAAGAGGAAGAAGAAGAATGCCGCCACCAGGATGCCCACCAGGATGTGATGGAAGAGCTTGGGGTTGGAACCTGCAGGACAAGGCAGGGGCGTCGGCCGGGGCTCCCCTCCGAGGTCGGCCTCCGGGCTCTGACACCGAGGCGGCCCCTCTCCGGCTGCTCCCCACCTGACTTCACAAAGATGACGGGTTTCTCGCCGATAAACCCGGCCACGGCCAGGCGCCTGGCTGGGTCGGAGTCCGGGTAATCAAAGAAGTCAGGTCTGTCCAGGAAGCGCGGGGCGGCTGCTCCCAGGGCCCAGGTCTTGGCGCCCTCCGGGGTGGGTGCTGCGGACCACAGCGACGTCTGTGACAAGAGCCCCGCTGACCCCCGCCCACCCCAAGCGGCAGAGGCAGACCCAGGGCCTGCCAGGCCACACGGCCTTCGAGTGGCTATGGAGGGGCTCAACTCTGTCCCAGGAGCTTCTCAACGCTCAGCTGAACTCTCCACCAGAAGGCCCACGCTGGAGGGGGTGGATGGGAGAGAGTGTGGGGAACAGAGAGAAAGGCCGAAGCTTGGCCTCCCAGCCCCTGAGGGGGCAGTGACCCCTCCCCCCAAGCTTTCCCCCTTCCCAGGCTCCCAGCACCACTCCCCACCTGCTGCAACGGCCCCCAGCCCAACCAGCCACACCCACGCCCTCGCCCACTGCCACGGACTCATGACCTCTCCACTCCTGTGCGGGGCTGGGGCTCTATGATGTCACAGCCCGGAGCCCTTATGACCACACACTCTGGGGTGAGGGGAGAGAGAAGTGCTGGGGCTTGGAACCCTTCCCCAGCCACCCTGGAATCAGCAGGGGAGAGGCTGGGACCCACAGTGCACCCCGCCCCTTGGGGTACACAGTGGCAGCCCCAGAATGTGGAAACAGGAGGGGCTTGGTGGGGCTAAGGACGCCGTATTTGTAGAGAAGGCGCAGGTTTTCTGTGTCGAAGGGGGTAAGGCTGCACACGTTCGGTTCCCCTTGGATCAACCACCATGTATGGAGCACTTCACATAGGTGGACTCAGCTACCATCACAACCCCGTGAGGTAGGAACTGCCTTCGCTACCCAGGAGAGGGAGCCAAGGCAAAGTAATGTGGGCAGCGCACACTTCCCTGGGGTGTGCGTTTTCCTTCCCGAGGCTTCCCCTGGTCCCCAAATTCAGGAGCACAGGCATTTCCCTCACCCCAAACCCTGTGGCTTAGTGCTCGGCCCGGGAACCAAGAGAAATAATAAGATGTCCCCACTAGGTGGCAGCATTGTCCACGCCTGCCGCCTGCTTTCCCTCCTCCCCGCAGACCCAGCTCCCCAGCTCCTGGCCTTCGCCGCCCTCTTCCCACAGGTGCCTCAGATGCTTCAGGCGTCGCGGGGGGAATGGCAGGCACGCGGTTGTCAGAGGAAGTCCCCTGGCCCATCTCCCGAGGCAGCTCTCAGTCATGCACAGAGCTTTCTCGGGCTCCCCTCTCTGGGTGGTCTCCCTCAAGGGCCATCCCATTTCCCCTTTCTTGTCCCGATTCTTCTTCTTCTTCTTCTTTTAAAAGTATATATATTTTTATTGATTTCAGAGAAGGAAAGAGGGAGAGAGAGATAGGAACATCATTGATCGGCTGCCTCCCGAACTCCCCCCTCACTGGGGATCGAGCCCACAACCCAGGCATGTGCCCTTGACCGGAATTGAACCTGGGGCCCTTCAGTCCGCAGGCCGATGCTCCATCCACCAAGCCAAACCGGCAAGGGCCCTGATCTTTTATTTGTCACTTCCCAACTTTCACTCTGGCAGGCCGCAGTCTGCTTCAAAGAGTTAGCTCCCCTCTGATTGGCAGGTAGGGACTGTCTGTCACAGATGGGTCCCGCCCTACCCAAGCCCAAGGACAGTCAGGGTCTCCTTGGTGTTATTACACAGATGCCTGTTCTGCGTGAGGTCCGCTCCCTCCTCCCCTGGGTCCCCACCCTCATCTCTCCTGCCCTCATGGGCTGCCCACTCACTCTCCTCACAGCAGCACTAGGAGGCATTGCCGTGTTCTGCTTCCTAAATAAGAAAAAAAGCCCAGAGAGAAAAGGGGGGAAGAGGAGGGGAGCTAACACCTCGAGGGCCTCCCGTCGGGCTGGGCCTCTCCTCCCTACACTTGTCTCTCCTGAGAGCACGTGAGTTACCCAGTCACAGGCGTGTAAGGGCAGCAGGGGCGAGACCTGGCTCCTGGCTCTGGGCCAGGGCCTGGCCCCATGTGCAGCTGCTGCTGGGGCTTAGCTGGGAGTAAAGGGGTTCAGAGCCTCCAGCTTTTGGAGTGGATTTTGCCGTTCCCTCAATTGCCTCAAAAGAATACAGCTGCCCGCTCTACCCGAAAAGGCCCTTTCGACTCAAGCAGTGAATGATCCATTCGTTTACTCCTCCGATGATTAAGTGCATGTGTCGAGCTCCTCCCGTGTGCTGGGCTCCCTTTGCTGCTTAGATCTAAGTCGGCAGGCCCTGCTGTCTGCCTTCAGGGCGCACCGGGGAGAGAACTCAGGGATGCACATCATTAGAGCACAGACAACACCTAAGGGGCTGGCTATACGCGCTGTCTCTACTCCTTCACGTTGAATGTATTTTTCAACGCCTTCGGGCCTTTCTTCGTCCCCACCACTCCACTGAAACCACTTTTGCCGAGTCCACCAATGACCTCATAACTTGCCAAACCGAATGGTTACTTCTCTAATCCACTCTGTCTGTCTGTCAGCGTCCTGAACCTGCCTCCAGGCTCCGGCCACGCCCACGGATTTCCGGGACTCCTTGTTCTCTAACCCACTCAGTCTTGGACCGTCTTTTTTCTATCTATACTCTCTCCCCCAAGGTGATCTCATGCAGTCGCATGGCTTTAAATACCATCTATATGCTGATGACTCACAAATGTATATTTCCAGCCCAGCCCTCTCCTCTGAGCTCCAGATTCCTCTACCCGATTTCCTGCTTCATGCCTCTGTATGTCCCCAAACACCTCGGATTCAATAGATCGCAAATGGAGCTCTTGATTCTCCTACCCCGAACCTGCTCCTCCCTTCCACTGCAGCCAGCGTCTCAGGGCTCCTCCAGATACTCTGCTCAGCACAAAAGCCCGGGGATCATCTCAGATCCCCCCACCCCCTTCTCTCTTCTGACAAACCCATTATCAAGACCTGTTGGCGTGATTTCCAACAGAAATCTCAAATCCACCCACTTCCTCCCCCCTGAAGTTCTGCCCCCCTCATTTAAGCCAACCCCACGTCTCACCCAGCTTATGGCAACAGCCTGTGGACTGGTTGATCTCCCTCTGTTCCCTCTTCCCACAGTGAGAACAACCCGGGAAACACACATCCACTACTTAAAACCCTCCGGTGGCTCCTTGTGTGGATTCTGAACTTACCCTGACCTTCGAGACTTGCCCAGCCCTGTCCACCTACCCTCTTTGGATCTTTCCAGGCTCTCCCTTCCTTGGCACACTCCAGCCTTGGCATGAACCTCTGCCAGGGACACTCTTGCTCCACGCTTGGCTGGTCAACGCCTTCTCATCTTCCAGGTCGTGGCTGAGACAACGCTTCCCCGGGGAAGTGCCCTGAGACCCCACACCTTGTGACCGCCCAGTCACCGCACTGATCTCGCTGCGTGGGTCTTGTCTGTGTATTGTCCGTCTCTCCACAAGGCTGTGACGCCAGAGGTGCTTGATCCTGGTCATAGTCACGGCACCACAATCAATAGTAGGTATTCGATAGCTATTTACTGACTGAATGGACAGATGAAAAGCCTTTCCATCAGGGCTCAGCCCTTCAACAAGGCTCTCTGCTGGGCCTGCGCCAAGTCCCTGGAGAAGACCCCAGTGGCGGATGCAGGGGTCTCAGGCTCTTGCCCAGCTTGCCCCTCCCCTCACTGCAGGCCCAGGTCTGCCCCTGGCCAAGCCCACCAGCTCCGCCCCGGATGTTGGCATCGCCCATAGCCCGGTCTCCTTCCTTAGCCTGGAGAGCCCTGAAGGAAACCTAATGGTTGCCTTTACTTTGAAAAATACATTATTTTAATGCGTTTGGATAGGAAACGTATGCACATGGAACAAAACTCAAAAGGTATAACAGGATAGACGTTGGAAATAACTCCTACTCGCGCCTCACCCTGCCTCGTGGCTACCTCCTCAGAGGGCACTGTAGTTACCACTTTCTTGTGCAGCCTTCTAGAGATAATTTATGCACAAATAAACACATATAAACTGCCCCCCTCAAATGGAAGCATTCCATACGTGCTATTCTGTACCTTACTTTTTCCAGTTAACATGAGACTGTGAAGGCGATTCGGTACAAGCACATAAGGGCCTTTCTTTGCCAGGGCGGCGCACTATTTCATTGTGTGAAATTGTGTCATAGCGGATTGAACTGGTCCCCTACTCGTGGACATTTAGGTTGCTCCATGTCCTTTGCAAATAACCTTGAATTTCTATTATTTTGCTCGTGGGACCAGCACGTATATATAGATGACAAAATCCTAGAAGTGGCATTTCTGGGTCAAATAGTCTATGTATTTGTCCTTTTGGTGCCACCATCAGACTGGCCTCCACAGGTGCTGTCCCGTTACCTGCGACTTCATCAACGTTGCGTGTTAACCGATGCTTTGAATTTCATGATTTGATAGATGACAAGTGCTATCTTTCTAGTTTGACTGTATTTCTCTCTTTTCAAAAATTGTGTGTTTAAAAAATACACATCACAATAGATCTTTTTTGTTGTTAATCCTCACCCGAGGATATTTTCCCATTAGTTTGGGGGGAGAATGGGAGAGAGAGGGAAAGATAGAGAGAAATATTGGTGTGAAAGAAACACATTGATTGGTTGCCTCCTGCATGCAGAGCAGGGAGAAGCCTGCAACCAAGGTATGTGCCCTTGACTGGAATCGAACCCGGGACCCTTTGGCCCAGAGGCCAAAGCTCTAGCCACTGAGCCAAACTGACAAAGGCCACATGACAATGGATCTTAACATTTTCAAGCAGACGTTCACATGGTTGTGCAGCCACATTTCTCTTTTAAATCATACCATTCAGCGATGCCAGCTTAGTGCCAGGCCCAGCAACTTAGTGCAGGACAAACCGTGTGGCCAGACTGAGCCTGAGCCGGCACTGGACGCCCGGGCAGAGGGGCTGTTTCAGGAAGGCGCCTGGGAGGAGGTGAGCCAGAACGGCCCCTGAAGGAAGGGGCAGGTCCGCCAGCAGAGGGGCTGGTATGAGTCCAGGTCGGGTGGCCTCAGAGATCCAGGTGTGTTCTAGAAACTGCACGTGACACTCCCGAGAGCCAGCGAGAGGAGCCCCCGAGGAGATGAGAGAAGTCAGGGTCTTGGGCTGAAGGGCCTTGGAAGCCACTGTGAGGACTTTGCCTTTGGGGGATGGCAAGTTTGGGGCAAACGAGAGCAAAGATCAAAGGCTGCAGTGAGGCGGGCAGGTGGCAGGTGAGAAAGGCAGGCGGCTGGGGAAAGGCTGCAGCGCTCGGGGGCTCGGAGCAGCCCGCGCCCCTCCGCACCACCCCGAGGGACGGGACTGGCGGGGACCGGCCTGGAGCGGGTGGAGGGTCGGCGAGGGCGGTGCATTTCCAAAGGGGACGCCTTCCCTCCGAAAGGGACACCCGCCCTCGGGGGAGGATCGGGTCACCAGCAGGGACACCTGAACAGCCAAAGGGAGGAGGCGTGGGAAAGCCCCAGCCGCAGCCCTCCGTCTCCTCCCTCGGCCTGAAACCCCCGCTGGGCTCGGGGCGCCCAGATCCCAGGCTGTCACCGCAGGCGGATCACACCTCCCAGCCTTGCATCCCGCAAGGGTCACTGCAGCTCTCCAGGCCCCGTCCCGCAGGCCCCGCCCCTACGGATGCGGGAGCGGACGGCCGGACGCCCTCCTCCCTCCTGCGCCCGCACCTCTGCGGGGGAGGGGCGGGAGGATGCTCCGGGGACCTGGGGAGCGAGCCGGCGTCGCCATGGCAACTAGGCGGGTGGACGGGTCCTGAGACTCCGGAGGGAAGGAAGGAGAAAGCGAGGGAGTGGGCGCCGTGGGCTCCGTGCGGGCCCCGGGCAGGAGGGGTGCGGGAGGAGTTGGGGAGCACCGGGCAGTTCTCACAGTTGGTTCCCGGTGGCGCCAGGCGCTCGCGCGTTTGCGAGTGTGCGCGCGAAGTTTCCCGGGTGAGGGTGCCAGCGCGTCGGGGTCTGTGCTGTGTGAGTGCGCACGTGGGCACGAGCGTGTGGGGGGCAGTGCCTGCGTGCTCGTGACTGTGTGTGCACGCGTGTGCTCCCCGAAGTGTGCCCGGCTGGCGGCGGGAGAGTCCCGCTGCCTCCCCGCCCCCCGCCGCCGGCGCCCGCAGCCTCCCGCCTCCACGGCGCTCACCCCCTCCTCCCGCACTTGCCCGGCTCTCCCTCCTCTCGGCGCGCACAGCGGACTCCGCGCTCTGGCTGCCGCCGCCCGCCCGGAACCGCCGCCGCCCAGCTTGCGCCCGCCGTCCCCCCAGTGCCCGGGCACCTGTTGGAGGCAGAGACAGGTGCAGGGGGCTGGGTCGCGGGGCCCGGTGCGGGTGAGGGGTGTGCGTGAGCCTGCGGGTGCCTGCGGGGTGGGGGTGGGGGGAAGCCCGCTCGAGGCTGCAATTGCTGGCGCCCCTGGAGCGCCAATCTAAGGAGGAGGCAGCTGGGGAAGGGGCCCAGCGTGGGCTGCAGGTGGGGACCAGGCGGACCGGCGGACCCTGGGGCTGAACGCGGTGGGAAGTGAATGTCTCCAGGGGTGGGTGACACCCGGACTAGACAAGCGCCTGCTGCAGAAGGATGGCCAGAGCCCCGAGAGACAGAGGAGACCTGGGGGTGGCTTCGGGGAGCAGGCAGGCCCAGGGGCAGAAGGGAGCCCAGAACGAGGGGCAGGAGCCGGGAAGATGACAAAGGGACACGGGCGGTAAGTGGGCAAGGCTGGGGTGGAGCCAGGACCTGGGGGGAGGGAGTTGGCAGCCCAGCCCGTGGAGCGAGGACCCAGCTCACAGGCTGACCCTCCCTCCACACCTAGAAGGGGAGGCCCCAGGCTGGGAGGGTGCTGCCTGGCCTGCAGCCCGCAGCCCACAGGTGTGAGGAGTGGGCAGTGGCTCATGCTGGGACCTCCCTCCCCCCCAGACACGGTGCTGCATGAGGGGCCGCAGGGGCGATCGCATGACCATCAACATCCAGGAGCACATGGCCATCAACGTGTGCCCCGGGCCCATCCGGCCTATCCGGCAAATCTCTGACTACTTCCCCCGCCGGGGACCAGGACCTGAAGGGGGCGGTGGTGGAGGGGGCCTTGGGGAGGCCCCTGCTCGGCTGGCCCCCCTGGCCCTGGCCCCCCCTGCAGCCCTCCTGGGGGCCACCACGCCCGAGGATGGAGCTGAGGTGGACAGCTATGACTCGGATGATGCCAGTGAGTGTGGGGGCTCCAAGGGCCCAGGGTGGTATTGGGGGCCTCCAGGCTGTGGGAAGGGGATGGGGCCCTGCTGGGTGTGTGGGGGAGGCCAGGGCACAGGCACTACAGCTGCAGTCAGTGTGGAGACTACAGCTTTAGCGAGGCTCAATATTCAATATTTCTCCTGAGACAACCACCCACACAGCCCAGTTGCAGCCGAACCAGGAACCCAACACACAGGCTGGCAGGCTGACATGCACATACCTTCATGGCCAGCGCACCAGCCGGCCTGCCACCGCGCGCTCACACACCTGCCTTTACACGCGGACTCACGCTGCTTCTCTTCTCCAGCCACCCTGGGCACGCTGGAGTTTGACCTTCTCTATGACCAGGCCTCCTGCAGTTTGCACTGTAGTATCCTCAGGGCCAAGGTGGGCACTCCCTTCCTCCCCAGCCTCAACCCTGTTTGCCTCCCACCTGGGAGGGATGGGTTTCCATCCTTCCCTTCTCCCGGCCATACCCCTGCTCGCCTCCCCACGCCCCCTCCCAAGTCCCCTTCTCCTTGGCTCTCCACACCCCAAGGATCTACTCCACTGAGGGAGGGCTGGGAGCTCACCGCTCTCTTTCCTCCCCTCCTCGCCAGGGCCTCAAGCCCATGGATTTCAATGGCCTGGCCGACCCCTACGTCAAGGTGCACCTGCTGCCTGGAGCCTGCAAGGTAATAGCTCCCTCCCTCGCCGAGTCTGACGCAGCTTCTGGGTCTATCCCCAGCCTCCCCCGCTCTCAGCCTCTGTGGGTCTAGGGAACGTGCATTGAGAATCCGTCGTCCCCACGCCGCAGGCCAATAAGCTGAAAACGAAGACGCAGAGGAACACCCTGAATCCCGTGTGGAACGAGGACCTGACGTACAGTGGCATCACGGACGATGACATCAGCCACAAGGTGCTCAGGTGAGGCCCATCCTCCCTGCTACCAAAGCCTCCAGCTCCGCGCCTCCTCCGGGACAGCTGTCCTGGGAACCTTCTTTGGTTGACTTACTTCCCGTTAAGCCCCTCGGATGCTCACGTACAGTCAGTGGCGCCCCATCCCTTTGGCAGCAGGCCACACGCTCCCTGGCATTCCTACCGCCATCGCTCCCCCTGCCTCCAGCAGAGGGCTGCCCTCTCTGACCAGCCGTTCAGTGCTCTGACCCTTTTCCTTTGCCTGTTGTCTCTTCTACCTGGAAAGCGCTGCTTTCTGCTTCTCTTTCTGCCACCCTAAACCCCACTCCTTGTTCGAGGCCCCGCCTCCCCCTGAAAGCGGTCCCTGGCCCCCGACAGCCCTTTTCAGAGGCCCTGGGCCTGTGCAGCAGAGGTCTGCCCATTCCGTTGCCTCTGTCCCCCCCACCCCAACATCTCTAAGGAAGGAAGTCTGAGGATAGGAAACTTGCCCAGTCATCCCTGAGCTGTTATGGGGAGAGTAATCCCTGACAGAGAATGAAGGGCAGCAAAACCTAGGCTTCTAGAACTTTCCTTTGTTCTTGGGCAATAGGGAGTCATGGCAGAGTTTGTATCAGGGCAGGGGCAGTCAGGGCTGTGTTTTATTTTTAAAAAAATTTAGATGCTTACTTATTATTTTTATTGACTTCAGAGAGAAAAGGAGAGGGAGAGAAAAATATCAATGAGAGAGTCATTGATTGGCTGCCTCCTGTACGCCCCCCACTGGGGATGGAGCCCACAACCCGGGCATGCGCCCTGACCAGGAATTGAACCGTGACCTCCTGGTTCATAGGTCAATGCTCAACCACTGAGCCACACTGGCTGGGCAGGGCTGTGTTTGGGAGAGATCACACTGACGTTGCGTGTGAGGTGGGCTGGAGGGAGGACAGGCAGAAACCGGAAAGGCTGGCCCCAGGGTTCAGATGCTCGAGAGGGAGGACTACATCACTCGCTGGTGCTCCGCGGTACCCAGCCCCGGGCTGTGCATTTTATTTTATATTTTATTGATTTCTTACAGAGAGGAAGGGAGAGGGATAGTTAGAAACATTGATCGGCTGCCTCCTCTCCTGCACACTCCCTCCTGGGTATGGGCCCGCAACCAAGGTACATGCCCTTGACCGGAATCGAACCTGGGACCCTTGAGTCCGCAGGCCGACGCTCCATCCACTGAGCCGAACCGGTCAGGGAACGGGCTGTGCGTTTTACATTCCTTCATTTCACTTGGTCCTTACAGTAGCTTTAGGAGGTGGGTGAGCAGAATCTCCATTTTACGGATGAGAACTGAGGCGTCAGGAGGTTGACTTGCCCAAGCTCACGCGGCTGCTAGTAGTGGCAGAGCTGGGGATGAACGCTCCGACATGACAGCGACCCAAGGGTGTCACAGCAGCAGCAGCGCAGGGGCCGAAGGAGACAACACAAACACTCCTTTCTCACTCTGGCCTCAGTCTCTCCCCGGGCGGCTCCCTGCATGCAGAACAGGACAGGAGCTCCAGAGGGGTGGGTGCCGGGTCCAGCTGCCCCAGGCTCCTCCAGGCCTCTAGCCCTCACAGCCTGAAGTGGTGACCACACCCACCAGTGCCCACCCTACGCAGTCAGCAGGCTCCTGTCCACAGGCCCAGAAGGCAGGGATGGGGAGGGTCCCCAAGGTTTGTGAAGGCTTCCGGAAGTCACTGAGGAGATCCCGATGGACCAGGGAGGGGTAGGGGAAGAGGGCACATCAAAACATCCTCCTCAGGTGCCAGGCCTGGTGCTCACCGCAGCCCATTTTACAGATGAGGAGTATTTAACGAAGGCAGAGCAGGACCAGCCTCGGGTGCCCGTGGTTCCATCGGAGGGACTTTCTCACTGGAGTGGGGCCCAGGGACCCCAGGGCCCTGACCTTGGTTTCCCTGCCAGGATCTCCGTGTGTGATGAGGACAAGCTGAGCCACAATGAGTTCATCGGAGAGATCCGAGTACCCCTCCGCCGCCTCAAGCCTTCACAGAAGAAGCATTTTAACATCTGCCTTGAGCGCCAGGTCCCGGTCCGTATGGGGCTGTAGGGTGCTAAGGGGAGGGGTTCCTGGGGAGGCCAGGTTTCCAGAACCTTCTCTTTGCCCTTTCAGCTGGCGTCACCCTCTTCCATGTCGGCAGCGCTGAGGGGCATATCCTGTTACTTGAAGGAGGTAAGGCGCCTCACGGGGACCAGTCCGGGTGGGAGGTGGTAAGGATGCAGGCTGACCTCTGTGTCTGCCCCGAAGCTGGAGCAGGCGGAACAGGGGCCTGGGCTGCTGGAAGAACGAGGGCGCATCCTGCTGAGTCTCAGCTATAGCTCTTCCCGCCGCGGGCTACTGGTGGGCATCTTACGCTGTGCTCACCTGGCTGCCATGGACGTCAATGGCTACTCCGACCCCTATGTCAAGACGTGAGCCCTCCCCCTGCTGAAGTGCCCTCCCCTCCCCTCCCCTCCCCAGGGAGCCTGACCTCTGCCCTGTCCTCCTCTGGCCTATCCCTGACCACGCTGCTCCTCTGCCCCTGCCCCACCTCCTTGGCAGGTACCTGAGGCCAGATGTGGATAAGAAATCCAAGCACAAAACAGGCGTGAAGAAGAAGACTCTCAACCCAGAATTTAATGAGGTAAATGGGGAAGGGACCAGAGATCACAAGGGGCGGGGGCGGGGCCTGGCAGGGGGTGGGGCAATGCCTCATGGAAGGTGTGGCTTGCCCTGTCCCAGGAGTTTTTCTATGAGATGGAACTCTCCGCTCTGGCCACCAAGACTCTGGAAGTCACAGTCTGGGACTATGACATTGGCAAATCCAACGACTTCATTGGTGAGGGAGGAGCCCGCTGGGTGGTGCTGAGGGAGGGCAGACCGGCAGCGAGCAGGGCCCTGATCTTGCCTCTCCTGCTCCCCAGGGGGCGTGTCCCTGGGACCTGGTGCCCGGGGAGAGGCCCGGAAGCACTGGAATGACTGTCTGCGGCAGCCAGACTCGGCCCTGGAGCGCTGGCACACCTTGACCAGCGAGCTGCCCCCTGCAGCCGGGGCTCTGCCCTCAGCCTGAGCTAGGCAAGCAGCTGCCCAGCACAGGCCCCTCAGGGCTGGGTCCAGCACCCAACCTTCGCACGAGTGTGTTGCACGTTTACACGGGGTGGATGCCCCGCCCGCCCTGCACTACCTGTCTTATTTCGTGAGAATCTGTGACTGTGGGTCTGTCTTCTTGTGAGGGACTGTGGAGATCTGTATTCACATATGCAAACTTCCTCCTGCCTGACTCGCTACTACATGCAAATATGCAAACCACCCATCCTGTGCACACCTGCAGGGGGAGCCCTGCCAGGGCCCCTGCCCCAAGGCCCCAGCTGCTGCTTCTCTCTTGCCTCTCCAGGCTGCCCGTCCCCTCCACCACAGGGAGGAGGTCGGATTAGGGGGGGTTCGAAAGAGAAGATTCCAAAAAAGAAAAGGACAAAAACCAAAAAAGAGCCACTCCTTTACTACAGAATCTTCGTTTGAAAACAACACATCTAGCCCTGTACAGCTGCCCTTTTAAATGGAAGGGGGAGGCACCGCAGGGTCCCGGCCTCTCCGAGGGGTGGCAGATGTTCCCAGCCACTCATTTAAATCAGTGTCCCCAGGACGGGGCCAGGATGTGAGGGCAGCCTCCTGCCCTTCCTGGGGAGGGGCCCTCCTTCCAGGGGACGTTTGTGCATGTTTACGCCTCTTCTGATTGTGTCAGTGGCCGCAGCATGGCAACTGGGCGTCAATAAATGTCTCTGTGGAAGCTGGGGCTCATGTGCTGGCACAGGGGGCTGGACAGGGGCTGGGCAGAGGGGTCACTCCGGGATGTCGATCACCAGGTCATCATCTCCATCCAGGGCATCATCCCCGCTGCCTGCATCGCTGAACATCTGCCGAGGGACTGCACTCAGGATCGTAGGGGGGGGCATCTTAGTGGGAGGCAGTGGGGCCAGGGCTGCCCCCACCCCAGCCCCAGAACCCCGGCTGGGGAAGGTCAGCGGCCCTCCCACAGGGCAGTCAGGGGGTCCCACCGCCATCTGCAGCAGGGGGGGAAGAAACACAGGGAGGGGCTGTCAGGAAGGAACGGGACCTCTAGGAGGCCGGCACTGCCCCTTACGGCAGTTCTTGGGGGTGGGGAAGGGGCAAAGGCTCATTCAAAAGGTACTGGACACAGCCAGGCCAGCCACACTGGAACCAGGGGCCTCCCCCACCATAGCCACTTCAGAGTCTCAAACCAGCAAGTGCCTGGGGGTAAGGGTAGTAGTGATGGAGGCAGTGATGAGGGCGGGAGGGGCTTACAGGAAACCAGGAGGGAAAGGCTGGGCCCTGTCTCACCAGGGAGGCACCTCGGCAGCCCCTGTGACGGCACAGCAATCAGAGACAGCCTGGGCCTGCCTGCCTCTAGGCACCTGATACCACTGGCCACCACTGGCCTTCTCTCCCTCCTCCTACGGTGGGACTCACTGGTTTGGTGGTAGGGTGGGGGGTGTCCTAGGTCTTCACCCCCTGCTATGTGAGTGAGGCCTCTTATATCTGGGATGGCCCCTCCTTGGGATCCCCACAGTCACTGGCCTAGGCCAGGCCCTCCTCTCAGCTCACCTGGACTACGGTACCAGCCTCCTAACTGGACTCCCTGCCTTCAGCCTCTCCCAGCTCCAGCTCCTCCTCCACACTGCAGCCAGAGTGAGCTCTCTAAAACACAAATCTGAGCGTGTCACTCCTCCACTGACGGCCTCAGGCCCCCTGCTGCCCGCGGGGCAGGCAGTGCCGCATGCCTGAGAGCGGGCATGCCTGAGAGCGGCGGGCGGTCCTTCCACCTGCAGTGTCCTTTTCTATTTGTCAAAAGTCCTGCTGTGCCCTCTGAGGCTGAGAAGTGGCCTCTGTCCTGCTGAACCCTCCAGCCCCACTCCTGCCAGGTCCTGACAACCTTCCCCCAGAGAGCTCGGCGGGCTGCACGCCTTGCCCGAGAGCACAAACCGAGCACATACCGACAGTGATTCGCTTTAATGCTCCCTGGCCATCCTGACCACCCTGGAAGGGAGGAGAGGCCACGGGCCAGAGGAGAACACAGGCTGCCAGGTCCCCACTGGGCAGTGTCCAATCTGGCCCTGGGTTGCAGGTGGCAGGAAATGCTTCTGTGTGGTCTTCACAGTGGCCCTTCTCATTGTTTTGACCCATTCAGCCCTCATGGCCCACCCTCACCCTGTTCCTGGGTGGCGTGGAGGGTCAGAGTGGGTTTTTAATCAGGGTCAGCACCTCAGGGTACAGGTGACTGCCAGGACTGATGACAGGAGGCCAAGCATTGAATAGCACCCTTGTATCCAGTACGAGGCACCCACGTGTGCACAGAGGGGCAGACACATACATGGCTGAAAAAAGCAGCGACATGAGGACTGTCCCCCTCCTCTGGCCACTACTCTTGATTCCTACTCCGGCTCCCACTTCCTAACCTGCTTGGACTCACTCAGTGGCCCCCTCAGGTGACCAACAGCAGCTAGTGTTGACCTGTGGCTTCCTAGGGACCAGGCACTGGGCTGTGTTCTTTCCCTTCACTCACGTTAACGTGACAGTGACCCAGTGACCCCAGGAGAAGCTGAGGCTCAGAGTGACATGACATGCCCAAGGTCACGTGGGGGAGCTGGGGTTCAAACCCAGCCGAGTCTGACTGAGGCCCCTAACGGACCTGCTTCAGTCTTCACAGCGTTCCCTCCTCACGCCACGCCACGCCACTCAGAAGCCTCAACAACCCCCACTCCCTTCACAGACCCGCCCGCCTCTGGGCGCCAAGGCCTTCTACGATCCCCCATCCTAGTTTCCTTTCCGACACTGTTCCCTCATCCCTCCTGCTCTAGCCCAAACAACACTGGTCATGTCCTTTGTCTTCCTCCCACCACTGCCTCAGCCTGTAACACCCAAATCTCACTTACCCTGGGCTCGAGTGTTACCTCTTCTTGGAGGCCTTCCCTGAAGTAACCCCTTCCCCCGGCACAGCCACTGATCTGGGCCTCTCTCCCAACCAGTATTTTCTCTCCTGAATGTCTAGAACTCAGCTCCCCAAAGCTTCTCTACTTCAGGACCGCACCTCAGAAAGCCTAACTGCCGAGCCCACGCCACACACCTCTGCCCATTGGCCCCAGGCTCCGCTGACCCTGGCCATCTCCACCATCCTGCCCTACAGGCCAGAAACAAAATCCTTGCTAAGTAGGGTGGAGGGTCAGTGTGTCACCCATTACCTACCCATTTTTCAGGCTTAAGGGCCGAGGTTACACAAGGAGTAAGAGGCAGAGCTGGGAGATGAACTCTAGCACACCCAGCACCACCACAAGCATGTCATCCCATTGCACTTCCGGTTCCAGAACCTTGAGTCAAAAGTCCACCAGGCTTGTGAGCTGTCCAGCCCGATACCTATTCCACTTGGACTCAGCTGGACGGGCCCTGTGCCTTCTGGCCCTCATGTCTGCTGGAGCTAAGTGTGCAGACCTCCCTCTTCTCCCCCCCACGCTCCCTCCTGATCGCACCCACTGCCATGCTGATGACCTCCAGCACACACCCCATGAGCCCCAGGCTCACCACCCAGGTGTCTTGTTGGCATTTCCAGACAGAATCTCAACATGTCCAAAACCAAGTCATCTCTCCCACTCCTGACTTCTTTGGTTGCTCAGGCCAAAAACCCTGGAGTCACCCTTGACTTCTTTCTCACAGCCCAACTGGTCTTCCTGTGGCTCATTCTTTGCAATAGACCCTCTCTACTGCTATCTGGTCTACTGCAGCAGCCTCCTCACTGGTCTCCCCATTTCCATCCTGACCAGACCCCCTCCTCCTCTCTTCTCCCTCCCCAGTCTATTCTCCACACAGCAGTGCCAGCAATTTTGTTAACATGTAAATCAGATCAGATTCTCCCTCTGCCCAATCTCTCCAAAGACTTCCTATTCATTCATAGTACAAACCAAAGTCTTTACACACCGACAAGGCCTTACACCATTTTACCCGTTATTTCTCTGACCTGCTCTCTGATCATTCTCCCCCTCTGACTTTCATTCGATCACACTGACTCCTCCCTGGTCCTTGAACAGCCAAGTATGCACACACACACTCCTACCCCAGGGCCTTTGCACTGGTTAGCCTTCCTGATTGAAACACTTTGCCAGAGAGCCACATGGCTTGTTCTCATTTCCGTGAAGTCTCTACCAAATAACACCCCAGACCACCTAACCATAAACACCAGTACCCATCTACTCTGGTGCTTCCTCTTCACCTGACTCCATTTTTCTGCACTGGTATCTACTTATTTTACTTTCTGCCTATCTGCTACAATATGAGCTCTACGAAGGCAGAGATTTGTCTGTTTTATTCACTACTTCATCTGCAGCACCTAGAACAGTGCCTGGTGCATAGCAGACACTCAGTAAACACTGGTTGAGTACGTGTATTTTGATTGCTCACTACACAGACACAGAACCTGAGCCTTGGAGGGTGAAGGACCCCTGCTCAAGGTCCTATGGTTTCAATTGGTGCAGCCTTGACTTGATTCTAGATCCCACAACTCGGTCCCTCCCTCTGGGGCTGCCGGGATCACAGAACAGCTGTGAAAATGAGCCTGCCCCCCCCCCTCCCCCCGGTCACACTGCAACAGTCTAAGGGCAGGATCCCAGGCATCTTTACTCTGAGTCCTCCAAGGCTGGTCCTACTGATTTATCTCCACATCGAGCCTGTGAGCCAGTATTTCTGACCCATATCCCTCAGTACTTAGCCCTGGGCTGGGCCCCCAGCAGCCCCAAATCAATCCTTTAAAATTCTCCGAGAGGCCCCCAGCCTCTGTCCTGAGCCTCCCTCAAATGGCTATCCTCCTGCCATTCTGGCCCCTCCCTAACATCCCCCGAACTGGGTACCTTGAGTTTCCGGGGCAGGCGGGGCCGTTTCTCCCGCTTGGGCCTCAGGGGGCTGGGCTCGGGCAGCTGCAGGGCCAGGTAGTCAGAAGGGAATGGGGGGTAGGGGGGGGAAGCCAGCTGCAGGTGGGAGTGGGGGGATGGAGATGGGAAATGGAATGGATGGGTGGGAGGTGAAGGGGAAAATGCAAACAGGAAGAAGAATGGAAAAACAAGAGATGATGATGAGTGTGGCTTCTGAGAACAGAAGGGGATGGGACAGCAGCAGGACTTTGTCCTGGGGTCTGCTCTCCTCAGTCATATCTGTCCCCCATTCCTACACCAGAGAGAACCAGGCAGCCATGACTCACACCCCTCCAAGGGACGCTTGCTGGTCACACCCAGACTGATGTCCCCAGAGCTGGGCCAATTTCACCCTGAGGCCTGGCCTCTTCTACCCAAATGATGCCCACTTTCTTCCCAGGCATCTTAGTTACCATTTCCCATCCCTGAGCCCCAACTCACCGAGCTCAGGTATGGGGAGGGGGCCCCGGAGGCCTGAAGGGGAAACCCTGCTGAAGGAGGCAGAGAGAGGCTGGAGGGAGAGGGGGCACCCCCCATCGGAGGGCTTCTTTTCCTGGAGAAAGGATAGGGGAGGGGGTCAGAGGAAGCTAGGAGGCCCAGGTGCTCCCCCTGCCCCCAACCTCCATCCCCAGAGAATGATGGCTTCTTCTCACCTCTTGGGGGCTGGCGTGTCCGACAACTTGGGTGTCCCCTCTGTCTCACTGTTATCTGAAGATGCAGTGGCATCTGAGTCTGTGAGGGGGAGGGCTGGTCAGTGGGGAGGGTTCCTGTCCGCCCCAGAGAGCATGACCTCGACTCTGGAAGGGCGCCAGGCAAGGTGACTCTTCAGCTGGCACGCACGTGCTATTCTGGGGAGCCCAGAGTCTCCAACTTCTTAAAAAGTCCTTTACACCTGACTTCCAAACACTTCCTGCCAGGCCCCTCCACGGTGACACATGTCAAGTACTTCCTACCTGCCAAACTCTGACCAGGCACCTGGCATTCACCGCCCCTCTTTGTCTTCATAACCATCCAAGAAGGAAGGTGAGGGCTTCACTTCCACTTTTCAGATGAGGCCACTGAGGCTAAGAGTAAGGTGTGGGGCTGAACTTGAACCCAGGTCTCTGACTCTCTGGCCAATTTACGCCACTCTCTCCTCATTCACCTCTAAGCTGCTTTCAGCTCCTGCCTCTGCTCCACTCCCTATGATCCAGGGCCCTGTTAATCCATCTCTCAACTTTCTCCTATCTTTATCCACTGCCCAGCCCCCATTCCAACTGCCACAAGATCAAGCCACTACCCTGTGGTGTCAAAATCCCCTAAGCAACCTCACCTCTCCTGCAGCAGAATGACTCCAACTCCAGAATGACCCAAAACTGATCCCATCTGAAATGCTTAATGTGGCCTCAACCTACCTTTCTGATCTCCCAACCAAACTATACTCTTCACATCATGCCAATCAATTTAATAAAAAAACATTTACTTCCCAGTCTGTGCCTCTACCTACAAGGTCCATCACTCATTTGACAAATAACGGCTATGTATATGTGCCTTTCTCAATTTCTTGGCTGAGGTACATCCTTTAAGAAGCAAATTCATATACATGTCTAATCACTATTGTACAGCTGAAACTAATATAATAGTGTATGTCAATTGTAACTGAAAAAGAAAAAAAAGTGATGTAATGGCACCTCTCTGAGAAGTCTTCCAAAATCCTTCAGGCCCAGTTAATCACTGGCCGTTCCAGATTCTGCTCTCACATGTCATGGCTCTCCTTGCACTGTGCCAACATGTGTCATGTGTGGGCATTTCCCTGACCAGACTGTGGGATTCTCCACAATACAAGTGGGCTTATGTGTGCAGCTCTCGCTCTTCAGCTTTATCCCACTCTGACCATGAACATGCCGACTTTCTTGCTTCCTACCCTGAAACCCCCTTGACCAGGAAGTTCACTGGAATCCCCGAGGCAAGGAACAAGCAGGCAGAGAGAAGCCAGAATAAAAGCCAAATGTTTTTGCCACGACCTAGACGAGCGGGCTTCCACCTACTTCTCTGACCTCATTCAGCACCTACTATCCTCCTATAACATGTAGATGAATGGTGTTGTGTTCCAATAAAATTATTACAAAAACAAGCAGCCTGGCTGAATGTCATCTGCTGACCCTGCTCTAGATCAATGTTTAAAGGGGCCACAGAGAGAGGTGACTGTATGTGACATGGCTTCTGAGGGTCCCATCCTGGAACAGAGGCACAAATGCCACTCAAGGGCGTTTCGAACTGTGGGTCTCAACTCATTAGTAGGTCATGACGTCATTTTATTTGTTGCAATCAGCATTCAATGAAAAAAAAAAAAAGCAGCCTAAAAAGTGTCAGAAAAAATGTGTATAGTGATCTTAACACTTTCATTAAATTTTGTCTTATAAGTATTTAAGTGGAGACTTGTTCATGATGTGAAATGTATTGTTGATTGTAATAGTGCTTTAAAAAGTTTGAAAACTGCTTTATGTGCTTTAGCCCTTCTGCTCTTCAGACTCTTCTGTTACCTCAGAGTATTTGCATTTTGTTATTCTCTCTGCCTGGAAACCTCTCATTCACACCTTCTAAGATTGTTTTTTTTTTTTTCTTACCTAGGTCCTAGCTCTAACACTACTTCCTAAAAAAGGCCTTTCTTGGACACTCTGTTGAGACATCGCCTGCCGTCTGCTTTTATATGGTCTGCAAACTAAGAATGGCTTTTATATTTTTAAATGGTTGGGGGTGGAGGGACAAAATATAGTTTATGATGTGAAATTCAAGTTTCATTGTCCATAAATAAAGTTTTACTGAAACACAGCCATGCTCAGTTATCTATCACCTTTGGCTGCTTTTGCACTACTACAGAACCACGTAGCTGTGACGTGGTTAGGCTTGTATGTTCTGCAAAGCCTAAAATATTTGTTAATTGGTCCTTTACAGAAAAAGTTTTTCATCCCTGCTCTAGCCTGATTTTATTCCTTTCAAATCTAACATTCTAATTTCTTGCTTACTTATTATACTGTCCCCAGCTAGGATAAAAATTCCAAGAGGCTTCATCCGTCTTGGTCACCACAGTACCTCCAAAGTCAGTGCCTACAACACAGACGTTCAATAAATGCCCAGTGAAGAACAGTGGCGGTGGAGGGCAAGCAACGAGGCTGAGAACCCCTGGACGCCGGATGCCTCCACGGCCTGAAAGGAGGCCCAGGAAGCTGGCTGCGCGCCGGGAACCGTCGCCCCCCTATCCGTCATGCTCACCCGAAGAGTCTTCATCCACGTTCTCGTACTGCAGGAGCCGGTCTAGGAGGAAACTGAGGAAAGAGGCGGGGCGAACAGTGTTCACTGCGGCCGCAGCAACGCTGTCCGGCCCTTGTCCCTCTGGCTGGTCCGCTGGCGCCTAGCGACAGCCCCAGGCAGGCACCATGCCCGTGGGCCCGATTCCCGCAGCCGGGTCCGAGTACGTACCGCCACCGGGACCTCACCCCCGGGGCTCCCTTCTCCCGCCCGGCGGCTCACCTCTTGTCCCGGGACACCTTCAGCAGTTTCCTCTGTGCCTTCCTCAGTTCCTCCTGGAAGCACTCGTGTTCCTGCATCACAGTCAGGGGCGCGCTGAGCCGGCGGGGCCCGGGAGGGGCCGGAACCTGGCGACAGCGCACCCCACTCCCTTTCCTCGTGGGAAAACCGCGGTCCTCCCGGAGGCAGGCCTCACCCCCACCTCCTCACCCCCCACTCACGTAGATGAGGAACTTGAGCTTCCGCTTCAGGTTCCGGTACTTCTTCTTGTAGTCCACTTCGCCGTCCGCTGGCCCGTTCATGACCAGCCCCGGAGCGGCGCCCAGCACTGAAGTCCCACTACCCTCCCAGCGCTCGGCCCCGCCTCTCCACCCTCCACTTCCGGAGACGAAGTCAAACCGTGCCCGCGGGGACTACAACCCCCAGCGTGCCCCGCGCCCAGGTTTCGTTACCACCCCGTTGCCCTCTCAGGGAATACCGGGAAAGGAACTTCGCTACCCGGGACGACGCTAAAGATGGTGTCGCCGCGACTTGATGACATCACAAAGATGGCGGACGCCGGAGGTTCGCCCTGACTGATTCTACGTGTGCTCAGAGATTGGCAGGCACAAGACTCTTCTCCCGGGGAGTCCTAGTTTTCAGGAGAGATGTCCCTTTTCTTCTGTCTTCCGAAGTCACAGCGGCCTAGCTGGCACGAGACCACGGACGGAGGCGTCGCGGACTGATTACGTACACCCAAAGGTTGCCGCGCCGAATCTAAAAAAAGGAAGGAGCCGCGAGACCCTCCAACTGCCGGGAAATCAAGGTTTGTCTGGCAAAGCCCTCGGTCCAAGCGGCCCGCAACCGACACCCAACGGTCCCTCGCCTTACAACGCCACGACACTGCGCGTGCGCACGTTCCTGTCAAATGCGCTAACGGAGGCCGGGAAGAAAAAAGGCGGGGGCCACCAATCCCAACCCGCGCAAAATGGCGCGGGAGAACGAGATGCGGGAGTTTACCCGTAGCTTCTTCCGAGGCCGCCCGGACCTCAGGTGCACTGGAGGTTGGGGTGGGGGTGGACAAGGGCAGGGCCGGGCTGGGGACTCCCCCTTAACATCTCTCTCCGCAGCACGCTCACCCACTCCATCGTGCGGCGAAGGTTCTTGGCTCACACCGGCCGCGACCACCTGGATCCCAAGGAGAAGCAGGCGCTGAAGCGGCTCGTGGAGGAGGAACTGCTGAAGATGCAGGTGTGGGCGGAACCCCCCTCCACCGGAGGCAGGGCTTGTTGCCGAGGAGTAGGGGCCAGAGAGGGGGTGTAGCAGAGCATCACCTTGATACACGTTTTGCCCTCTTGATGCACAAACAGGGGGATGAAGCGGGTGCCAGAGAAGGACTAGACCTTGCCAAGAAGGCAAAGAGGCCTCCCACCTCCTGCAGTGACCCAGAGAGAAAAAGGTTCCGTTTGAATTCGGATTCAGGTTAGTGCCTTCTGCACAGTTGGTTCATTCAGAAAGTATTTACTGTGCATGTAACATGTCCCAAGGCATTGGATGAGGTCGTGAAGCCAGTGAGTCAGGAACCCGGAACAGGGTGGACTGATGGGCCGTTTCCTGCTGTCTCTCCTCTCCTTTCTTCTGTCTGAAGCAGGGTTTGAGACAACCTATCCCAAGTGGAGGAAAAGGGGCAGGAGGAACCTGTCCCAACCTTCTCTTCTCTCCACATTCCAGAGCCCAGTGCTGCAGCCTCCAGTCCAGACTGCTCCAGCCACCCAGCAAAGAATGGGATGGGCGCAGTAGCCAGTCCCACACAGAGTCCAAAGCGGGCCTCAAAAAGAGCAATTGAGAGCAGCGATGAGGAGGAACAGCAGAGGGACCTTACTGCATACAAGACTGGATTAGAGAAGGAGGCAGTGAAGGAGAGCTGGAAGGAGGAGGAGGAGGAGGAGGAGAGCTCTGCTAGAACAAGTAAGGTCTGGAAAGAAGAGAGCAGTGAGGAAGGGAATAAGGAAAAGGAGTCCAAAGGCAGGACTAGGAAGAAGCGTGTGACAAAACACAGGACCCAGTGGGATGGTGGCAAAAGGCAGAGTGGCAGCAGTGAGGAGGATGGGGAAGACAGCTGGAGGAAGTTGAAAGCAGCTACTAAAGGCATGGGAAAGTCAGCTAAAGTAGAAAATGGAAAAACAACCAATGGTGAGGCAAGCGACTCGGAGAGGGAGGTGAGTGACAGTGAGGCAGGGGGGACCCTTAAGGGGGAGAGGAAGAACCGCTCTTACAGGAAGAGCTCCAAGAAAAGCAGGCCCCGAAGCTCTTCCTCCTCTTCTGCAAATGGCAGCCCGGAACCCAAAGGCAGGAAGGTGAGGATGAAGATGGGGTGGGAGGCCACCATTAAGAACAAGCAGGTACCAGACAAGATTTCAGCTAGTAGGAAGCAGGCCATGGAGGAGAGTGAGGACAGTGAGGAAGAACCTGCCCAAAGGATGGAAAACAAAAGAGCTAAAAGGCACCAAGAAAGTGAAATGGAGAGTGAGGGGGAGGAGACCCTAGCCAAGAAAGAGAACAGCGAGGAGGATTGGAAACCCAGAGCTCCAAACAATGGAGGGAAAAAGTCAGCTTGGGAGGAGAGGAGCAGTAAGCAGAAAAGCCTGGCAGCAGAAGTGCTGGGAGACGGGGGGGACAGAGAGGAAGAGAAGGAAAAAGCAGCAGCAGGCAGCGGAGATAACAGTGGGGGAGATGAAGAGCCCCTAGTGCAGAGGAAGGGCAAGAACAGGACTCAGCGGGATGGTGGCAAAAGGCAGAGTGGCAGCAGCAAGGAGGATGGGGAAGACAGCTGGAGGAAGGTGAAACCAGCTACTAAAGGCATGGGAAAGTCAGCCAAAGTAGAAAGTAGAAAGACAACCAATGATGAGGCAAGTGACTCAGACAGGGAGGTGAGTGACAGTGAGGCAGGAGGGACCCTCAAGGGGGAGAGGAAGAACCGCTCTTACAGGAAGAGCTCCAAGAAAAGCAGGTCCCGAAGCTCTTCCTCCTCTTCTGCAAATGGCAGCCCGGAACCCAGAGGCAGGAAGGTGAGGATGAAGATGGGGTGGGAGGCCACCTTTAAGTGAAGAGGGAGACCTAGAGTCAAACCCAGAAGACCTGACCGTCAGCTGTTGTCTTTTCTTGTCAGTCTGGTCATCGTGATGAGGACCACCCTGCTGTGATGAGACTAAAGCGCTACATTCGGGCCTGTGGCGCCCATCGCAACTACAAGAAGCTGCTGGGCTCCTGCCGCTCGCGCAAGGAGCGCCTGTGTGTCCTCCGGGCAGAGCTGGAAGCTCTGGGCATGAAGGGTTAGGCCGGGTGTGCCCTGGGGCTGCAGGAGAGGTCCTTGGCTGCTGGGGAGGAGAGGATCACAAGATTCTTCTGCCCCAGGTAACCCTTCCTTAGAGAAGTGTCGGGCTCTAAAGGAGCAGCGTGAGGAGGCGGCCGAGGTGGCATCCTTGGACATCACTAACATCATCAGCTGTTCAGGTGAGGGCTTCTTCCCCCTGCCCAGGAACAGATGGGGCTTGGACTGCCTCAGACAACTAATCTACTTCTAACCCCCAGGTCGGCCACGCAGACGCACTGCCTGGAACCCTTCAGAAGCAGCGCCCCCTGGGGAGCTATACCGCCGGACCCTGGACTCAGAGGAAGAGCGGCGCTGTGCCCCACGCCCAGACTGGTCTCATATGCGTGGCATCATCAGCAGTGATGGCGAGAGTAACTAAGCTCCCCCGTCTACCAGGAGGAACTTTACACACTTGTAGAAAGCACACATCTATAGCACCCCCCACCAACCCAAACTCTGTGCCCAAAGAGAAGCACCTTTTTTCAGACTTGAAACCCCCAGGTACAGTTGCTGGGATCCTATTTGTTTCATGTTCTCAGTTTAAAGTGCTTACAGGAGTTTATTTTTTAAGACTCAATAAAGGAGTGTTTGAATCACCTCATTAAAACTAGTCCCCCACTCTCATCCCACCCACGCCATCTAGTTCCCTTTAATTTCCCTCAGGTTCTCCAAAGGAGTCCCAGCTTTTAGACCCTGCCATCCAGTCTGCACCAGGCTCTATTAGAAGAGCGGCTCCTAATCTTCCTCCAGTCTGACTAGTGTGCCTCTCTGATCCCCCTGTCTTGTTGGAGGACTCTATGAAAACTGGCTTTAAGACTGTGAAGCACAAAATGAAATAACTTGGAGACAGCTGGTGTTTATGTCTTCCATCCCCTTTATAAAAACAGCCCCTTGGTCGATGGGCCAACCCTTTCAGCATTCAGGGGTTGGGGGTACAGGACCTACACCTTACCAATCAGCACCATGCCAGTCCTCTGGCTACAGATGGAGCCAATGAGGTCACTTCAGGAATTTGCTGGGATTCTTGCTGTTGAAGTTGTTGGTAAGATGTAACCCTGGAGCTGCTAGGAGCTTGAGCATGAAGTGAATCTTCTAAAAATCTTTGAAGCCAAAGCAAAGGGAAGCAGAGGTCAAAAGTCTAATGATCCCATCTAAGGCTCTGGATCTAGTAATGGCCGAAGTCATTAAAAACACTGCAATTTTTAGTTATACAGCCCAATAAATCCTCTTTTTAAATACAAGTAACATTATCACCTGCCACTGAACAGTCCTAAATACACAGCTTAGAAAGCATGAGTCCTGGGGTCTGTTAGAATAACCAACAGTTTATTAAAAGCTTGCCATGGGGCTCTGTGCCAGCCCCGTAGCTGGGAGGGGCTGCCATGACTGCCCCCAGACCTGGGAGCAGCCCCTTCCAAGGTCCTTCCCTTGTTCCCCTGCCCCAGCTCTGATCTCAATTAAAAAAAAAAAAAAAAAAAAAAGACAAGACGGCACAGGACTTCAGACGGCAACAGGGGAATGGAGAGACCCAGGCATCCTGACCCCAAGACCCCATCCTTATCCTTCTTCCTAAGAAGGCCCTTTCCTCCCATACTCCCCACCCGACCCCCAGACTTGCTCTGTCACATCCCAGGTCTGCGGGGGCCTGGCGTCCCCATCCATGGCCCCAATGCAGGGAGTAGTATAGTTCTCTGAATATATCTAGACCCACCCTTCCCCTCCCCCAGGGGACTAGATGAATATTTGACACAAACATCTCCCTCCTTTTCCAAGGCGGTGGTGGAGAGAGACCCTGGCACCATGGTGGGGAGGCAGGGGCTCCTGGTCAGCCTTGAGGAACCTATGCCCAAGCTGACCCTGGGCCACTGGCCAGCCCAAGAAGCTCATGAGATGAGGTTTGAGGGGAGCTGGAACTAACATCCTGTCCCCCACCCTTGGGTGGGCCTCAAGCTTATAAGCCCTCCAGAATCAGGCTCCACCCAACCCTGCCCCTGCCCCTCCATCTG